TTTGTCACATGAGGACCTAAAATGGCCAATGTTGTATTCCATCCTTCGTTACGCTGCAGTAAACCTATTCCAGAGGCGAGTCCGGACACTTCAGACACGGGTTATTGCTTCACAAGGAGATCGTGGCCACCAACGTCGGTCGCCAGCGGACGGCTCCAATCACGTGTCCCTACTCACGTCATTTGGAAAACTGGATATGCCCATGAGACCTCTCCACAGGTACGCTATATGGGCACCGTGCCTCATTTTAGCGTACATTTTTAGCGCAACGCCGTTAAGATTTTCATTCAAAATTGGCCAAGTAGTTCTGACGGTCTCAAGAAAAGACAGGGTGGAATTCGCCCCCTCAATCTGGAATAACGTGGAACTCGCTTGGAACTGACTGAGTGTTTTTTTTTTCGTCAATGTATGCATGGCAGTTCAAAGACTCAACGTTCGTGAAAAAATAAATGTTTTAGCAATTGTCTGCATGCAGCACGCTTTGTGCGTGGTGAGAGAAACGAAGCGGTAACACATGTGACAGGATTTATCAGTTATTATCGCATAAATGCAAACCTAACCTGATGGACCCAGAGACCGTTCGAAAAATGTGCCGACGGGTTTGCCTACTGCATTAGAATGCCCGCTATTCATGAGTCGTTACCTGACAGTGATCCACCTATGCATTCTTCAGGCTCTTATTTCAGGAAAACACGACTTACGGCGTTGACTGATGTTACGACGCGAACATTAGCGTTAACGTATGGGCTTACGCGTAACGAGCAACAGAGGCAGGAATATTTGTGTTTACGACCCATAGCCGTATAAACATCGTGGTGCGAACATAACCGGCAGTGTCAAAACAAAGGTATTCCTTATTGATATTGGCCACAGTTATCTAGGCTGCTCGCTTATGTACTTTTCATGATAACAATTTATCTCCCGGCAGAGCACGCTACATCCGAGAGTGGTGTCGACAAAGGTTGCATCAGCCGCTTCTCGGTCGAGCACTGGGGTCGCTATGAGTCGGACCGCTTCGAGATTGCCGGTGGAGATTACTTTTAGTAGTGGTATCTGGTAGCAAGCAATTGTGCAAAAAAAGTAAGTTGTCAGCGTTGGTTAACATTTTAATGATGACCGTTGTAGGCGTGCAGCTGCGAAGCATATCAACTTTAAGTTTGCTAACAAGGTCGACTGGGACTCCCGATCTCTCCTTCCCTGCTACCCCGCTGAAGTGACTTTTGATGACCAGGCGCCAAAGGTCGTGGATGCGGTCCTTGCCGTACTGCGGCCTGGTGACGCGCATCCAACTCAGGAAACGGAATGCGAATAGAGCCCACAACACCAAGTTTAGTCACAGCATGATTTTGTGACTGTTACCTCAAAAATATTTTCCTGAGTTCATGGCGTTTCATCGCATGTCCATGACCCAGCCCTTCTACACAAGCCTCCTACCACGCGCATTGACGCGTACTTGTATGTTCCGTTATTGTATCTAGCTCCCTTTCCGTCCTCTGGCATCATTCTGAGCGTCGTCCCTAGCACCATTCATCCCTGAGAACTGACGCAAAGCTATGGGCAGGGCAATCAGGTGGTCCGTTACCAGTGCGACTGCCAGATCACGTGGCTGGCGCGAGCTGACTGTTGACAGGTGCTACTCTGGCTTCTGCGGCAGCACTAGTGTCTGTAGCCGTCGGCAGCCCGTCACCGATCATCACGCTATCATCCTTGGTGTTGATACGGCCCAGCCCTGCTGTCGATCGTCACTGATAACGCCCTCCCAGTCGGCACATGAGCCCGAGTCGCACGCGTCCGTCACGTGACAGCCGGCCGGCGGCCATCTCCAAGCTAGCTCTGTGTGGCTGCTTTGAGTGTGGTGGTTCTGACTGACTTGGGCCTCGCTGGTATCGAGCGAACACTGTTGTTGCGCGAAGCCTCAGCCTCCGTCCGCGTCCACCGACTGGCTGCGGGAGTGTGGTGGTTCTGACCGACTTGGGCCTCGCTGGTATCGAGAGAACACTGCTGTTGAGCGACGCCTCAGCCTCCGTCCGCGTCCACCGACTGGCTGCGTGAGTGTGGTGGTTCTGACCGACTTGGGCCTTGCTGGTATCGAGGGAACACTGCTGTTGAGCGACGCCTCAGCCTCCGTCCGCGTCCACCGACTGGCTGCGTGAGTGTGGTGGTTCTGACCGACTTGGGCCTTGCTGGTATCGAGGGAACACTGCTGTTGAGCGACGCCTCAGCCTCCGTCCGCGTCCACCTACTGGCTGCGTGAGTGTGGTGGTTCTGACCGACTTGGGCCTCGCTGATATCGAGAGAACACTGCTGTTGAGCGACGCCTCAGCCTCCGTCCGCGTCCACTGACTGGCTGCGGGAGTGGATCACCAAGTCTATGCTCGCGGATTGAGTGGAATGTTTTCCACGTTTAGTAAACACAGTGATGTTTAAAGGGAGTTGGATTGCTTCTTTCGTAGGGATGGCCTCGGAATCCTCCCTAAGCATAGCTTAGTGCGAAGAATCTGACACAGCCAGGCGGCGACAGCAATTCCAGTCTATCGAAGACAATCTGTGCCGACGACGGTTGTCGCAGGTTCCGCGCGGTGTCGTGACAAGGCCGCCTCTGCCCCGTTCTCGCCCAGATCTCACGGCCTGCCTGCAGATTACCGTCGAAGACCAGTTCAACAAGAGTGCGTCTATGAGGCTAGACGGCGCTAGACCAGCTAAGGCTGGTAACGCGTGTGGGGTCATGGAGTAGCTACCTATATACATGAATATGGCGTGTTTTTTAAAGTTGTTGGCAACGGTTTAGGCACACACACACACACACACACACACACACACACACACACACACACACACACACACACACACACACACACACACACACACACACACACACACACACCACACACACACAACACACCACACACACACACACACACACACACACACACACACACACACACACACACACACACACACACACCACACACACACACACACACACACCACACACACACACACACACACACACACACACACACACACACACACACACACACACACACACACACACACACACACACACCACACACACACACAGACACACACACACACACACACACACACACACACACATATATATACATAGTGCCCATATATATATATATATTATATATCCGTATATATAATATATATATATATATATATACTATATATATATATCTACCTATCTATCTCTCTATCTATCTATCTATCTATCTATCTATCTATCATATCCTATCTATCTATCTATCTATCTATCTATCTATCTTATCCATCCTATATCTATACTATATATATATATATATAGCATGATATATATATCTATATATATATATATATATATATATATATCTATCTATCTATCTATATATATATATATATATATATATATATATTTCAAATAGATAAAAGTGACTGTCAGTTATGTTTGGATTGCACTGAGAAGACATTGGAAGTTCACCAAAAGGTGTTCTTAATTTTTGCGGTGAGCTTCTCTGGATTAGCGATAGATGCAACAATGATGTGCACATCGCGTATTTTCAATCACTTAAAAAGGACACTACAAGGCTCCTTACAGACTGAAGCATCAGTTACGCTGCAAAGGCATTGTCGTATGCACGATCCCAGGTTGATCACCGTCTCAGCACTACCGCAAAATTTTACTGAGAGTGGTTCCCAGTACTGGGCCCTAGAATTGCCCCTGAACATGGCATCTACCGGAAATTTATCCGCGGTACGTAGACCATGTCCAGAAAAAGTTATGAAACTTGAACGATCTGCTCGAAACCGTTTCAGAGCAGTCAGTGAAAGACCTGAAGTGGGCAGGAGGACGGAATTAGCTCTGCCTGCCTGGAATAGGGCTAAAGCCTTATGTTGACTAGGTTTATTAGCAGCATTGCCCTCAGATTTTGATTGATTGTGATATGAAGAGCAGTATGCATGAGTCCATGCTATGACATCGACCAGGACATTAAAAACTCAGTTGGGCTAGTGCGTTGCCCGTTCGCGTGGAGCCCCCCCCCCCCCCCCTTTCGGCGTTGATTGACTAATCTGATACGCGCCCGGTCGCAGCTCCAGCGAGCCCACGGAGCCGGCGCTGGCGGACAGGCGGCACGTGCCAGCGGCGCCGCTCCCGCTCCGGCGCGGCGTCGGCTCCAGTGTCCAGCCGTCCTGCCGTTGCGACACAGCAGGCGCCGCGGCCGTGTGACTGCCGGGTGCGCGTGTCCCGGAAGGGTGGCGTGCCCTCGCCGGGGACGCCTCTCGTGACGCAGCGTGCGCTGTGCGGCAGCGCCGGCTGCGCGGCAGCGTCAGCCGCCTGTTGTGCAACATCAGAATTTCCAGCCGGCGTTCTGAGGAAAGCGCCGCCACGGAGTGTCCGGCCTGATCCAGCCGCTGGTTGTTACGCCTCGGTGCAAAGTGGGCAGTTGCGGCTCCGTGGCCTCAATGTGGACGAGCCGCGCATGCGATGGCTTTCTGGGAGGGCTCCCCTCGATCAGTCCAGGAAACCTGCAGAGCGCAGACGAAAATACGTATAAACGGCACGCGATCAGAGACAAACGCCGACCACCAGTGCTATCAGTGACGTCGCCGACAACTACGTCACAACAGCTTTACGCCCCGCGCTCGTGTGCGGATGTGACGTGGCAATCTGTGACGTCATATTCAGCGGGTTGTTGAGGACGTCGAGCCGTCAAACGCTGATGAAATATGACGCTGATGCTCCGCACGGCCTTTTTGCCCCGCTTTGCTTGCTTGTTTCCTGCTTGCCCCGCCGTAAGGTGCCCAGGCTGGCCGGCGCGCTGGACACCGGCCGGAGCGCAGGGGGAGCGCGCTGGACACCGGCCGGAGTGCCGGGGGACGGCGGAGCGCGGCCTGCCGCTGGCCTGACGCCCGCCGGCCGGTGTTTATCAGTGCGCGGCGAGTGCTCGGTGGGGAGGGTTGTGCCAGCGCGTCGTGCCCTGTCCGCTGCTCACGAGCCAGTGCCGGCGCAGTGCACGGGGTCTTGTGCCGCCCAGCGCTGCAGACGATAAATGATACACCCGCCGCTGAGTGGCGCAGGTCAGTGAGGACGGACGGATTGACCGGTGTGGTTTTCTTGGTGCACGCGGCATTGGCAAGGTAAGGTCCAGGAGTGCATTCATGGAGCGTGATCGCCTGCAGGTTAGCTTGCCCTCTTGCATGCTGTCCCTGCTTTCATGGAATATCACGTGGTGCATCTGGCACCGACATTCACTGTTATTGTTCAGAAGAAGCTGTTTGTTACTTCCGGGGGAAATATCTCGTCATTTGTATGCATTATTTAGCGCCCTTTGTATATTGTTTCGCCAGTGAAGATGTTCTGGTGCAGCTTATTCTGCTATATTGCCATGTTCTACACTTGCGCTAGGGATGTTCAGATATGCGCTCACAACGCCACCTACTGAGCGAAGAGTACGAGAACAGCCCAACGCAGTTTCCTGCGGCTGGGCCTGCGGACTGGTTTTACACGCGCCCATTCAAAATACCAGATATTTTAATTCATGGAAAATTGGTTGAAAATTATTTGGGAACAAGTTCGTGACACCTAAATCTGACAGCATTGGCTTGATTTGCCTCTCCAGCCAAAGCTGCGCACGGAATGTCTACTGCCTGGCGACGCCTCTGTATGTCTAAAAAGGTAAACCGGATATACAAAGGACTTTGTTTGAGCTACGTAAGCAAATGGGAAGGACCTGTTGCAAAATACGCTGAACTAGCCTGTTTCTTTCAAGCGCATTTAGAGCTCAAGTGAGCAGTTTAGCATACATGTAATCAAAAAATGGACTGCCTCAGCAAGCCGACCTTGCACCCATGGTGCGCCCGTGTCACATCTAGACTTTGTTCTCTAAAGACGGTAACCCTCACCCCTCTTTTTTCCCTCACGCTCCCTCCTCCACCTTCGAAGCGCCTCGTTTTTTCCGGGCGAGCTGCATGTACCGGCCATGGGTGGGCTGCAGTGTCGCTTAGCGGCAGGGGTGAAAAGCTACCGATTTGCAGGACGTGATCGGTGACAGAAGTATGGAGATCTTTTGGAGACCTTTTGAGCCATTCTGTGATAAATTCGTGAAAGTTGAAATCCATTTCAACAGACCTTCCCAGTTAGACCAAGCTTAAAGCTTAGTCCTAGTCTGCACTCGTTAACGCTTGCAGCGTGAGCTTGTGAAGACCACGTGACAAAGCATTGATGTTTCGCTGTATGAGAAAGTTGAGCCACAGCATGCTTCCAAAATAGTAAGTAAAATCAGGAGAATTTTTAGCAGGTTAAAGAGTTATGCTACAAACTGTAATTAATCAGTGCTGCCGGCTCCAGATCAGTGGCGACACAGAGATTTTCCAATGCCTCTCAGAACAGTGTTTTCATGCCGTTTTCAGCCAGGATTCACTTCACACACTCCACAGTATAAACTAGCAAATAAGATGGCTTATTACTAGCTGTAAGAATCGTGACTGGCTTCAGCAGCTTGCAACGAGCGCGATCAGTTTGCTGCGAGCCATGCCTTTTGAGACAGACTGTTCGGTTGGCTAGGCTGCCATTGGTTGGGCTCGCATCGTGAGAAGCTCACTGGCTCGATGGACGAAGTTCATCGTCAGTTTCTGCTAGACGCTGTGCGGCTTTTCTAAGCATCTACCATGCAGGGCGTCCCTGGTAGAAGCGTTAGAAAGCCCTGCCGATCTTGGCGGGCCGATGTTTGTGAGCATCCCACCTGTAGTTTCAGAGGTCAACGACGGATGTTAAAGCGACACATGTCGAGGATTAATCCGGAGGTTTCTGCTGCTGATTAGAACTGCAGCTTTAGGGTGAGAGGATTAGTATCGCCAGCGTAGGCCTCGCACACTACCCGCCGCACCGCGGATTTGGTGAACTGTGTGGTTGACAGACGTGAGATAACACGCTTTTTATTGCCATGATATTGTATATGGAGATAAATGAAGGGGCTAGAGGCGTTCAGAAATATCTTGCACATCTGCTGATATCTAGATTGTAGGGGCTTCGTACCAGATGCCTTTGACTGAGACCGTGTTATGGCAATAAGGTGGTGCAGTCGAAGCGCCCAAAACCCGCCCCGAAGTGCGAGGCCTACGTCGCTGTGACCAGAATGCATGAGCTTGTTCAAATTTGTGTGATGCTAGCTTCACATGCCCGTAGGACCATTTTAATTGGCACATGAAGCAATACGGGGATACAGTTTTGCAAATCACATGGAAGTGAGGGGGCGGGCCCAAAGTCAAGGGCTCTGTCTTAAAGAGTTTTCGTTTGTTGCGAGGGCATCACCCATCTGTAGGCAGTACAAGTGGCTGCCACTCCACATCTAGGTTTCTGGGATAATTAATGGGCCTATTCCAGAAGGTGATCAAATCTTACGTCCTGACCAAGGATCGAATGTCATGTGTCCACATACTTAACTCGCGTGCATCCACCGTCGAGAGACAGCGATGATCCCCTGCGTGTCAGACCCAGGCATCGGATGCGGCACTTCGGCGCAGGTCACCACGCCTCTGGCATGGGGCAGGTCAACAGTGTTGCATCTGACACCGCCTTCGCCCTGGTCAGGTCAGCGGGATTGGTGGCCTGGTCCAAAACTGACACTTGGTTCGCCGGGCAGTCAGCAGCTTCGTTCCAGTGAATGGAATTGGCATGAACGAGTCCCCAGTCCAGGGTCACGTTGTGAGTTTGTCGTGCAATGCGTGGACCGGTCTATATATTTTTGCTGATAGGGGATAATATGTATGAGATGGTTTGTAACACACGCACACACACGCACACACACACACACACCACACACACACACACACACACACACACACACACACACACACACACACACACACACACACACACACACACACACACACACACACACACACACACACACACACACACACACACACACACACACACACACACACACACACACACACACACCACCACACACACACACACACACACACACACACACACACACCACACACACACACACACACACACACACACACACACACACACACACACACACACACACACACACACACACACACACACACACACACACACACACACACCACACACACACACACACACACACACACACACACACACACACACACACACACACACACACACACACACACACACACACACACACACACACACACACACACACACACCACACACACACACACACACACACACACACACACACACACACACACACACACACACACACACACACACACACACACACACACACACACACACACACACACACACACACACACACACACACACACACACACACACACACACACACACACCACACACACACACACACACACCACACACACACACACACACACACACACACACACACACACATGCTGACTTTATTTTGGGTCCACCATTGGGCGGATCTCGTGGATACGCTTGAGGTCCCAGGCCGGCAGACTATGCAAGTGTGCACAACCTCTCGCGCTTCCAAATAACGATCAGCTTGGCGCACGCCCCCTGAAGTTTCGGCGGATACTCCGCCAGCATGTTGTGCAATCGTGCCCAAACTTTTGGTATCCTCTGGGGCATTCAGTGGAGGTGTCTTGACGCAAAAACATGCCCCTAGCAGTTCTGGTTTCTGAGAAGCTGCTGTTGTCTATAAACACTGCTCGGCGATCCACGGCTGGCGCGGGTGATGGGCCGCAACCGACGATTTCGCGGACCGCGCGCGACGCGCTGACACAGTTACAGTTACATTAACGGATCCCTGCATCATAAATATGCGTATAAACACAGCTGTTCCGTGTCACGTCAGATCATGATGCTGCACGTTAAGGTATGTTAAGTTAAGCAAGTGTAAATTTAAGGAAAATTTGATGTCTGACGTGGTTTAATGGGGTTAATTACTGAGTCAGTAGCATGCAACTTATTGCTAATTGCGAGATGTTATCGAGCCCAATTCACTGTTTTTGCGCGAGGCCCACTCTGTCGTAACTTGGAAATTCCAGGGGTCTCATCGAGCCCCCCCCCCCCCCCTCCTCCCACTCCGCACTATGAAGAACAGCGAATCAAGGCGTGACTTAAACGCTCCGCAGTCCTACGCCAGCGCTTCCCAGCCCTGCCTTGGAACCGCGGCCTCTCCTGCGCCGGACACTCAGCCGCTCCAGTATCGAACATGCGCCCACTCTGGTCTGGACCCACTCCAGTGCCGGACACGCGGCCTCCCTTGTGCCGGGTATGCTGCTTCTCCTGTGCCGGTCACGCGGCCGCCCCAGTGCTGGACACGCGACCTCTCCTGCACCTGACATGATGCTTATGTGCACGCAGCAGTTCCTGTGCCGAAGGTACGCCCTCTCCAGTGTTGGATGACCTTTCCTGTGTCAGACACACGGCTGTTCCTGTGCCGGAAACACGACCGCCGGAATCACGCAGCTTGTAACATCAAAATGAACGTGCAACTGATAGCAAAGTTGTGGAGTGATTTTTATGGATGGATTAAACGGTGCAGGAGCACTTTCTCCAACACGGGTATTGCCCATGGGGGACTTTGGGTAATGCATGAGGTTTGTTAAGTGTCATTTATGGCTGTGGTGCGGCCGCTGACCAAACACGTTCTCGCCTTCCTACGTATATGCGAGGCCTTACGTTTGAATCGAACCGACGTGCTCACCGACCTTAAGCCTGCTGCGTCGGTCACTATTGCACAATGAACTATGCCCCAACCACTGGGACTTTTACCATGGCCAGCAAATGGTACTTCAATACAAGTGGACACTTGCGAAACGCAAATATTCATTATATTTAAGACGCGCTGCACTTCATATGTTTTATGTGGGTTATCATTTTTAGAGTTATGTTGCAACATATTTTGTTCCAAATTCCGTTGGTGACAGAAAATGTACTTCTTCACCCATGCCTGGCGTGAGTGCGAAAGCCCGCGCATATCTCAAAGGGATCAATGTATTCGGTGGCGTCAGAGTTCATGTCGAGCAGCTGGTACGGTTGCGCCCCATCCCAGTCGTGATCTTAGCAGTGGACAGTCCCAACCCCGACGCTCTGATGGATCTCCACGACTCCCTGACGGATCCCCGCCACTCCCTGACGGATCTCCGCGGCTTCCTGACGGATCCCCGACTCTTTGACAGATCCCCATGACTCCTTCACGGATCCCCGCGACTCCCTGCCGGATCCCCGCGTCTCCCTGACGGATCTCCGCGGCTTCCTGACGGATCCCCCGACTCTTTGACAGATCCCCATGACTCCTTCACGGATCCCCGTGACTCCCTGTCGGACCCCCCGACGGGATCGACAAGCATGGCAGAAGCATGACGAAGAGTATTGCTTCCGGGTAAGCCCGATAGACATTCTGCAGCATAACCAACCGGACTGTGCGTTGGACCGAAGCGGCCAAACCTCTGAGCAGCCGGACACTGCGGATTGAAGTTTGGGAGTCGCCCTTACAGTACGAATGACACTTAACCTTGAACCAAACAACCCATGCGAAATGTATTGTGAGCCACTGCATGCCTGCATGGTCCCAGATTGAGCGTCACCGCATCATAAAGTGGCTTAAAAACTGGCCCAGCTACTTAAAGATTTGGCTTTGTCGCCCCAATGTACTGACTAGTTGTCCAGGGGAATGGCTCGTCTGCAGGTCTCTCGTCTGACCATGCTGTCAACGATATCCGTCAAGAAAACGTGTTTAGGAGGAAGGGCGGCCGTACCCGTTACCCCGGCGTCAACTTTGACGCCAGCTTCAGCGCCGATCTCTTCGAGTGGTCGAAGGAGTTTATATAACCGAGCCGCCGCTTATGACGTCACTGAGCGTCACTGAGCCGCAGACTGTGGGTCACACGTTACCCCACACCATATACACGGGCCGCAGGGCGAGGAGGGCGGCTCGTCGCGGGGGTGGCGTCCGCACTCGTCGGGTGGGACGCGCGCCACGGGTAAATATGCGCAAAAATGCAGCGCCGGCGGAACGAAATCGCGTTTGCGTCAAAGCAGCATGTAGTTTTGAGACACAGCTGTTGCCGCTTGTCGTCAGTATCGGTGTTCGTTCTGATAGCCCACTTGGTTAGTGCGCATGCCATCCCATCCACTCCCCAGTGGCGGGGTAGGTTCAAGTCCCTGTATGCGCTCGCTTCTTGTCCTTGATAGGCATGCGGCCTGCGGCTGCTGGCAGCGGTCGTGCGTAAAGTTAGGTGACGTCAGGGAATAGGACGCGATGTGCCGAACATTGTGGCACACTAATTCTTGCCACCATAATCTGCCGTTGACCTGGAACTGCACGATCGGATGATAGGGGTCAATGATCACACAGCAAGCACTGCTTAGCGTAGGATTTGATCGCGGCAATCCATCCATTCAAACTGCTCGGTTTAAATCCATAAAAAGCGACATTACCAACGTCGTCTGGTCAGAATTGCATAGATACCACATTAAACCTATGTTTTAGTGTGTTTTAGGTTGTAGATGCATTAACATTTGACCACTGCTGCGTTTCCAACACTACCGCTTTTGAGGGCGGGGAGCTTAGAGCTCTTTTGGCCAGCACAGGCCGTTTCAGAGTTGTCTTATGAAGGACAAAGGCGGGTCGTGGGCCAATACTGCGGCGATCGTGGATGCATTCGTCGACAGTTCTCACCCCGCAAAGGGACCCATCTTCGGAGCTTCGTACGGGTGTCCTGGAAGGGCTCCTGCAAGGGCAGACAATTGCGTCACCTTAAGCTCACCCCAGAGAGGCGTGGCATTGTGGACATGCAGAATGAAGCGCTCAGTAGGGATAACGAAAGCAATGGTGACTTCTGTCTTTAAAAAAGGCTCTGCTGGAGGTCACATGGACACACTATGGCCGCTCGACGGACGTGTTGAGACAACCCATTCTTCAAATAGGGTTAATAACGTCGGCACCCGTCCAGTGGGTCTAATTACGTGTGCGTCAGATCAGTGACGTGCGGTCAAATGTGTGTGAATGAAATGAAATTATCTCAACCGCCTTTTCAGTGCGACCTTCCTATCCGCTTAGATAACGTAAAGAAAGTGTTTTTACAACCAGTTTTCCTTTTTCTCAATGGCAACGTCTAGCAGGCGGTAGGTTTTTGATGCGAAGCAGTTACCAGACGGGTAAATCAGGCCGACGGTGCAGCACCTATGTAACACAGGCCTCTTCTCAAGCACTTCCAACCGATTTTCCATGAAATTAACTTGCTCATGTTCCGTTTAACCGCGTATAAAACCAACCTGCAAGCCTTAGCAGTGAGGGCTGCTTCCGGTACTTTGGTTACACGTTTGTTCAATAGATGGCGGTGCGAGTGGTTGTGTGAAAATCCCTATGGGAATTACAGAGAAGCTGTTTGGTTATTTTTGAAAAAGATTCAGAAACGACTTGCGTACTGAAACGGCATGCAAAGAAATTGAAAATCATGTCTTCAAAGAAAGTTAACATCTAAGTTAAAGTTAAATTTTCAACGAAAATACTCGTCGGAAATCACGGGAAACCGACGAGGCCACCTTTAAAACTGTTCGTATCACCAAAATCATGAACAGTTGTAACAATGCAGAGCCATAGACCTCTCTATACCATCCGTAATGCCGCTGCATCAGCTATATCCTCAGCTGTCACAATATTTTCATTATTAATTTGGGAACGCTCGTAAAAGCCTGCTGCGAGACCCATCCTAACAACAAGCACGTAACCCAGATAAGTGGCTTATCTTGCAGACTTACCGATGCGGCTGCGCCCTAAAGCTTACATGACAGGAGGCATTAGACGGCCACGTGTTCAACACTGTGGGATGAGTTCTGTTGAGAGCAGTCGGGGCTCCAGCGACGAGATTGATGCTTCCTGCGGTCTCAACTGTTGCACTCTCGCGACAATCCCAGCCTTTTGTCGGGTACAACTGGGCATTAACCGGACGTCTGCCTTTCAGAACTACGTTTACGTCATAAAGAAAATGGAAAAGGGGCTGGAAATTGAAAAGCTTCGTGGCCAGCTACAGGTACGTCTAAGACTGTGAAACATTCGAACCCACGGGAGGTGCCGCAGTTACTGATATCTGAACGGTCACTGATGTATCACTCCCAGTATACCCGCAAAGCACTGGGGCCAGCAGAACAAGGGCAGCCAACTCCATCTCTGAAAAAATAGCGTTAACTTGAGCTGCATGGAAAGAAAGAAGGTGAAGTTGCGCGCACCGTTGCCCCCATTTCAGCAGATCGGACGCCACTTCAGCACAGCACCCCAGCATTGTACATCGCACGCCATAGGGGCAATTACTGAGCCGACTGAGGTGATCACGCAACCTGCAGGGAGATGACTTATGCCAGCCTTACAGTCAACGCACACTGAACAGCTGCAGCACAATGGCTCTGAGGGGACGAATATAGCCTGCTACCTTTTTTGTTGGGGGATGTCGCACGCTGACCGAGCAAATGTTTGAAAGATGCGTTCGTGTCATAGTTGTTCGCGAGCCGAAGTAATTTCGTAAAGGTGCGTAACGGCTGGTGCTCGGAAGCGCCGATCTCGTGGCGGAAATGTTCGTATCACATGTGTCCCTGTCCGCAGATATTTCTCTGTGCGAATTATCCGTGCAATTGTTCGTAAAAACTGATGTCTTTATCGCGGTTGCTCGTCACGCGCGAGTCCGTTCGCAGCGCAACGTTTGTCAACACCGGTGTTCTTACAGCATATCTTCCTAAGCGTCGATGCTCGTATTGCAGATTTTCGTGAGCTCGAAAGCACCGACATCCTTCAGACATTACAACATGAGATTTGCAGGTTTTTAACGACCATTATGCGTGACGGTAGTGTGCTAATCGAGGTTTGGTTAGTAGAGCAGTGAAGATATATGAGCGAGTGAAAGGAACGTTGGTTTCGGTCCGAATCTCACGAGACCGTGGTTATGACGTCACCTGCTAACGCTGTTTTTGCTCACGTAAGATGCACGATTGTCCTTTTCGTGTTTATTTTTACCTTCTTTAACTGGAAAGGATGCCAAAACCCACCAGATGACTCTTTTTTTTGCATTTTGAAGACAATGTACTGGAGTAACTGGGTGAAAAATGGCTGCATGGAATGAACCACCGGCGCAAATCATGTTACAGTGGTTGATTGGGCTCTGTAAACCAACAGCAGTGAGAGGCTGGGTGGATTTTTTCCCAGATGTATTAAGGATTCTGTGGTATATTTAGTAGGGTACTCTGAGCGTGTCTTTCACCAATGCGGTTTTAGGTTGATAACAGGAAGGAAGCATATTCCACACTGCCGCGAACCGTAGCTGGAATCTCATGGTGGAAGCGGAAAAGTAGTCGAAGAATCCCTATTTAAGTGTTACCCTGTCTGTTTATCTGTTCAGAGGACAATCTCAAAACCTTTCAGGAAACAGTGGTGCCCCAGTCTAATTTCTGAACGGCGCGACTCGGTTTTGAAAGATTTTTGGAAAGTAGCGGTCAACGCCATTCGGTTTGACGGCAGCTTCCGCGCCGGCCAATGGCGTTCTTGCTCCAAGATTGCCAGCGCGCAGGCTCAAAACATTCTACGTTTTTTCACTAGGTCATTCTGAAAGGATGGCCGTCCTCAGGCAAGCATGGGATGGCCTTTTTTATTTTTTGCCCATTTTGGTTAATATTTTTGAACACCAAGGAGACGTTTTATCCTTTTCCGGGCGAGGGATCCCGTGGTTAGAACACTAGAGGCACATTTTTCCTGGTCAAGGGATGAAGGATAACTCCGTCTCAGCGCGGGATGCTTACCGCCTGTCATTCTGGCGACACAGGGCGGGGTCCTATGTCCATCCGGAGAGTCTTACAAGGATGCATCATATATTTGTCCCCTCCCAAGCGCGAGAGGCCCTCCGACCCGGGCAGTTGACCCCGGATCGACGCCGGGGCCTTCACTGACGCAAAAAGATGCCGTATAGCCGCAGGGGTGCCATAACTGGCACAGAGAGTTCGATTTGGCTTCACACGTCCTAGGCTGAAATGGGATGGGGGGTTCTTTCCGTACTGAGACCCCTGACTGTCACATTACCCTCACATTATTTCCTTTTGAGCTTTTATCGTAAGCTCTTGCATCATCTTCCATTTCCGAGAGCCCGAACCAACGCAAGATGTCATGTGACATTTGGGGTCCCGTCCCCGTTCCCGTTCAGCAAATACCCTGCAATGTTGCAGGGTTCCGGCCGATGCAAATCGCTGCCCTGACTTTGCCCCTGTTTTGGAAATGGACGGCCGGGGCTCAGATCGACGCGGAGCCGACTGTTCGCTGTTGGTCTCTGGCCGTCTCTGGCCGAGCCTAGATGCTCGCGCCGTCACAGGAGGCCCCCAGTAGGTGCAAGAGTCGCTCTGATTGGCATTTGGAGGCCTGGCCTTACCAGCCAGGGTTCTCAATATGACCTATAGTCAGGCCGTCGGGGGTTCGTGCCCTCCAATCGTGCCTTTCATCGCCAGTCGCCATGACTCTTTTGACCCCTTTTCGGCCCTTTCTACCACTGCCCCTGGTCGAATCTGGGCGCCTGATCGGCTCTGGGACCCCTTGCCAACATACTATCCCCTGACCGATACACGGGGCCGCGCATTGACTCAGGGTCCCCAATGTCTATTTCCTTGCGGCGGAAATAAACACTCAGACTCAGACCGACACGGAGCCTACTGTTCGGCACTGGTGACGCCTGACCAACTTAGAGGCCGGTCGTCGATCCAGGGGGTCTCCGATTGCCTCAAAGCGCCCTCTGACTGACATTTGAGGGCGGACCCCTGCGGTCGGGGGTCCGTTAATACCACCTGCGACCAGCTGTTCGGGCACTCAATCGAGCCTTTGATCGCCTGCCCCGAGGGGCCGAAGGGTCTTCGAGGGCTCGTGCCCCCATCAAGGGTCACCCACTGGTGGGTCGAGCCATTCGCGGTCATAGCCGCCAGATGGCTGCGTGCATAGTTATGTTCTGGACGCGACGGCTCGTGCATGTTGCTGATCTGCACCACTATCTGTCGCACAAAGCTGTTTATTCGCTCGACGACCTGAAGTCTTGCTTCGCTACGTCATGGCACCAAAACCATGTGCAAAGGTTATGGGTCTACAAGAAAAGTGCATGTAAAAACCTGCCCTTTTTCTGAGATGACACTACTGCTGATGCGTTGGGTTCCGGGTATCAACATCAACCTCTGCTGAGCTATTACAAATCAAATTTATTTCAGCCCAGCCTTGCGAGCTTGCTGCCGTACGCACAAAACATCTTAAACAACCAACAGTGGCTCTGTCGCTTCGATGCCAGATCAGCAGTACTTCCTAACGTGGTGTAGCGGTCATTCGAACCTTCCAGACCGGCATCTTTTACCCCGGTCCGCACTCTCCCTCCAAGACTGCTATAAGACTGGGTGCGCTATATGTTCCGCACTCTGAACCCATTTCTTCTCGCACTCCCCTCTCTTCCACGGGAAATCTCCAACCCTAGCTGCAGTCACGTGTCGCGTCGGAGTTTTGCTAGCACACATATTTGCGGCCTTAATGTCTAGACCGTTTTAGTTTTATCCAGAGACGTTTTGTTTTGGGGAGGTTTTGCACGTGGAAGTTTTGCCGTGTTGGGGCTATGTCGCGTAAACGTTTCGAGGGTTTGTTCTGGACGATTTTTCCTGCAGACGCTTGATCGCATGGGAGGTTTTATGGCAGAAGTATTGTGCGTGGAACTAATCATATGTGAGTGTGCATAAGTAGCTTTCTAAATGCTTGAGCATTTAGATAGCTACTTATTACACGTTTGTGTCGTTTTGGAATAATGCCGATGGGAGTGAGGCCCTGTATGCCAGGTACGGTCATCCGGCTATTTCACCGCCAAGTCCCGTGGTCCCGTGACGTCATCGGTCTTCCGTAATATTGGTTTGAGAGCTGCGCCACGAGGTGTCCAGGAGTCATCTGATCGAACAGGAGATGATGACGTCAGTGGAATAAGTGGCCTTATGACTACCGACAGGACGACAGAGGACTGGGTAGAAATGTCTGAGAAATTTTGTAACGTAATTGCTTTATATCTGAAGTTTTTTTCGGCAGAAGTGAACCTGTGTAGAACTTTGTCGGGGGAAGCATTGTTATTTAGGAATAATCGGCTTTGAAGCATTGTCTGTGGAGGGTTGGTGTGCCTGAGTGTTTTGTTTGTAGATGTTTGTCGTGTAAAAGTTTGGTCCGTGGTAGTTTTTCAGCGGCAGTGTGGCGTAAAAGTTTTGCTTGTAGCCTGTTGTCGCGTGGCAATTAGATTGTGTAGGGACTTTATTTGAAGGATTTGTGACATGATAGATTTGTCATCAGTGCTTCTGCTCGTAGCAGTTTTGCGGTGTCATCGATTTAAAAGGCAGATACAGCCCCTGAAGGCCTCAAGGGCCGCTGAAGGCAGGACGCATAATAATTGATATCTGCCAAGAGCATTCTTAGGGCTCAAGTTACGAATATCTATCACACGGTCATTTGCATTTGCGAACATTTGCATAATAAACATCCGCGATACGAGCATTCCCGTTCACAAGCACGCATGCATAAGCGCGTGGAAACTTTAGCATTTGCCCGCATTAGCTCTACGAACATTAGTAATAGCGGACACCTGCGATACGAACATCTGCGGTTTAAATATTAGCATGCATGCCCATTAGCGCTCACGATCATATGCGTAACGAACTTCCGTGCTCGAGGTGTGACGCAGTCGGTCTGGTGGGACTCGTACTGCGCGGCCGCTAGCCATGCCGGCCGTGGCCGAGAATGCCGGCCCGGACTGAGACGTCGGCTGTGTGTGGCGCAGGAGCTGCAGGGCCGGACGGTAGCCGAGTTCACCAGCCACCTCTCCGGCCTGATGGAGCGGCACGTGGCCGGCCTGCAGGCGACCGCCGCGCCTCCGCTCGCGAACGGGCACGTCGCCGGCTCCAGAAGGTGACTGACGGCACGCACGTGGCCAGAGTGTGAGGCGCAGCTGCACTGCTGCTGTGTACAGTGGGTAACTTGTGAGGGAGTGAAACAGGCAGACACCAATGCTAATCAGCCTACAAAAAAAACAGTGAATGTGTCTGGTACACCAAAAACAGTTTCCTTGTTGTTCTTGAAATGAGCAGAACATTATAACGTCAAAAGCAGCTTTCAACCCGGTACATTGTGGACACCTGGAATATTTCACCTAACAGATTTGATTCTCTTATAAAGGCATGGTGCATAAAAGGGGAAATGGTACAACATGGGTTAAATAAACGGTATGTAATACACTTGGGCCATGGTGAATTTTTCGCTATATGGTGCATGTCTGCCATGGGGTCTGTGATGTCAGCCATGCCTACCATTGGGCCTAGGGGTCCATCCCATGGGGTTCCATTGCACCCTTAAGACACAGATATATCAGCATATGGTCCTTATCCTTTCGTCCGCAGGTGTCAGACCAGGCCACTTGGAACAAAACCGTCTTTGTGCGTCTCGGACCACATGCGGTGAACGACAGATATAACCCATTTCGTCGACCGTTTTGTGCCATTTAAATTATATGTTTTGCTGTGAATCACAACACATTTCAAGCTTCTCACATAATTACAGCTAAGGCTTGTAATTGACACTGGAATGCAAGTTCAATGCAATGAAATGAAATAAAATGAACAAATTGTGCTGCAGAATGCAATGCCTTGCATTGCCCGCGGCAAAGCAATTTTTAACCGACAAAAAATCAGCAATATTTCTTCGAAACTCCCGGAACGTAAGCTGAAGTCGATGCGATGCGGGGAGAAATCTGGTTGGGGAGGGGGGGAGTTTAGGTGAGGTCAACGTTATCGACTACGTCCCACCACAACTGATTTTAGAAAGTGACATTAACTTTTGCCTGGACCGCAATATGTGTCAGTTAATAAAGTCTAATTTTGTTGTGAATTGGTGTTTTGCCGGGGGCGAGACAGCTATTCGTAAGCGAAAAAGAGGTAAATGAAAGATAGGAAATTAGCGTATGCAGCAATTTTTTGTTAGCTGGTTTGTCAGTCTGGTATAAAATTTCGTGATTTGGGTGTGGAGGAGTGCAAAGATGGCGGTAAAGAAATCACCAATGGTGCTCTTTAAACTAGTGACAAGTCATTCATGGCAATTCTTCTGGATTCCATCATGACAAGTTCGATTTCAAGAAACGCTATTCGATAACTAAACGCTGTTCGACACTTTTGTGCTTTTAATTCATGGTTCACGACGGCTATGACCCACACAATCCACACGCCAAAGCCTCACAAGCCGCAGCCTAGTGGTCCAGACAATACATCCGCACAACCATCAGGCAGGCGCCAGAATGGCACCTTACATGACTTGCTGTGCGCGCGACCTTTCTCAGTTATGAAATGACCTGATCGCTTGACAGGGATCACGGAAAACGGTTTGTTCCGCGGGAGTCTCTGCTTACGGAGCTGTTCCACATCAGCCACATCCGCACCATTTACCACATCTTCGTGGCCATGCTGGTGCTGCTTTTCACGCACGCCATCCTGATCGACATGGTGGAGCACGGCACGTGAGTGTGGCGTTTGTATGGTGACGCGGTGATAATGGGTCACCTGAAACGTGTCTTGGAAATTCGGCGTCATGCAATCTAGATCAGTCTTTTTGTCATTAATTCATTCACCGTGCGTATGTTTTCCAATGCCGCGCCACGATACGTTGGACATTTGCTTACAGCCTGTCGTTGATAATCGACATCTGCATAAAGCTGCCGGCGTTCTCGGGGGCGAGTGCGGTAGTCGCGTTATCTCCGTATAACTGCCGACACTGCCGGCGCGGCCGTGTGTCCGTCAGGCTGAGCCTGAACCCGAGCCTGCTGGTGTAAGCGTTTGGAGGTGTCCGAGTGCCGTGTGTCCGGCAGGCTGAGCCTGAACCCGAGCCTGCTGGTGTACGCGTTTGGAGGTGTCCGAGTGCCGTGTGTCCGGCAGGCTGAGCCTGAGCCCGAGCCTGCTGGTGTACGCGTTTGGAGGTGTCCGAGTGCCGTGTGTCCGACAGGCTGAGCCTGAGCCCGAGCCTGCTGGTGTACGCGTTCGGAGGTGTCCGAGTGCCGTGTGTCCGACAGGCTGAGTCTGAGCCCGAGCCTGCTGGTGTACGCGTTCGGAGGTGTCCGGGTGACGGCCGAGACCTGGCTGCTCATGTTCTGCTCCGTCATCTTCCTCGTGTACCCGACCTTCCACTTCTGGGCCACACACCGCTCGTCCAGTCCAGGCAGGTGACGCAGCGGCGGTGTCACTGACGACCTGGCGCCACTGACGACCTGGCGCCACTGACGACCTGGCGCCACCATTAGCGGATGTCGACATGACGCTCTTGATAGTCTCTAGATAGACTCTTGACGCTCTAGACAGATAGAGTGTTCGTCTGTGCTCTATTTTAAGTCCGGATACGCGCTGCATCTTTTTGAAACGCTCATAACTCGGTACCCGCGTTGCAGTGTTGTTCGACTGGCTGTTTTCCTCCATGTTCGTGGCGTACTGTGGCTGTCTGCTCTACCTGCCTGCTGTCGTGGTAATGCAGCACAGGCTGCCGCCAGCCTCCTCCTTCATCGTTCTACTGGAGCAGGTTTGAAGGTGTTGGGTTGGGTAGTCGCAGCTTTTCAGACTAGAAGCTTTGCTGTGCCAAGTTGTGCGAGAGGACTTGCACGGTGAAAAGCGTGCCTTCGCTACTTTTGCAGCGGAGCATAAACGCCAGTAGTCCAAACGGTTAGCCTCGAGTGTGCGAATGCAACGACAGAAGCAGCAAATTTTACTGCACTGAAATGCCTTCTGCCGTATCGAACATCTTGCAGCATTACAAACTGACGCATTTTTTGCTAAAGCGTTGCATTCTTCTTTTATTCACAGATTCGTCTATTCATGAAAGTGTATGCGTTCGTTCGTTCCAATGTGGTTCGGGCAAGAGCCCCTGAGACGAAGGACTTGGACAGATGTCCCAACTTCAGCACATTCCTCCTCTTCATGTTCGTACCCACTCTGGTGTACAGGGACAGCTACCCCAGGTGAGACTCAGCATTGCGCTCCGGCCTTCTCGGCAGCAGCGTGCACGTGTGTTTTCTCCTTGCTGCAGCAGCGCAGATAATACGCTTTCATTCGTGTTCATGAACATGTCGGCAGCGAGCTTGCCGGTGTTGAACTCCCCGGTGTTGGTGCGCCTGACCCCAGCCAGAGTGCAGAACTTGTCGGATTCCGCTCCTGCTGGAGGCGAATGTCACCCGTTTGCTCGCTGGCGGACGGGCGGGCCTCTTGACGCAGGCTCTCGAACCACGACATTGGCCTTGCGCGATGGCATCCTAGAGCCCAACCCCAGATCACACACATGATTGAATGTCCTTCCATTCATTCCAATGATTAAATGGTATTCCAGCTGGAAATCAAGCCTGTGCCACGCCTTTCAGACGCCGAGAGGTACCGGTTTCTGGATGATGATCACTGGCCCTCCACCCGTCAGGACGGGGCGAGTGATGTCGTTCCTGTGATAACCCCTGCACTCCTCAGGACGGGCCGGGCGATGCTGACCCTGTGACCGCCCCTCCGCCCCTCAGGACGGACCGGGTGCGTTGGGGGCGCGTCGTGCTGCACCTGGCGCAGGTGGTCGGTTGCGTGGTCTACCTCAGGACGGGCCGGGCGATGCTGACCCTGTGACCGCCCCTCCGCCCCTCAGGACGGACCGGGTGCGTTGGGGGCGCGTCGTGCTGCACCTGGCGCAGGTGGTCGGCTGCGTGGTCTACACATCGTTCCTGTTGGAGCGCTTCTTCCTGCCGCCCTTCCAGCGGTACGGTCTGGGTCCGGTGACCTGGCGCCACCTAGTGGTGCACGTGTTCGGCAGCGTTATGCCCGGCATGCTCTGCTACCTGTGCGGCTTCTTCGCTCTGCTGCACGCCTGGATGAACGCCTTCGCCGAGATGACCCGATTCGCCGACCGCATGTTCTACCAGGTGAGGGCTGGGCGCGCGGCAGGACTGGCGGACGCGGACCTGGGGTCGCCCAGGCCGCCATCGGACTCGCGTGTCAGGCGTGGTGGCTGGGGAAGCTGCAAGAGCTGGAGACCTGGGAGTGGGAGGACGAGGAGCTGGAGAACGACCGGATCTAGGCGTGGATCGAGGCTGGGGTCTCAGGGAACGGCCAGTACTAGGAAGTAGCTGAACGTCCAGACACCTGTGCGGAAGCCAACACGCCAAATGGCGTGGCGTGCACATGGCTAAGCCCGGCTAAAAGCGGAGTTTTTAGGATTTGTTTAGCTTTCGCTCAGAACCCTCCCGTCTAGATCCGACCAGGCCATGCTTGGATCTGGGTAAGGGAATGGGAATTCGAATCGGTCCCGCGTCATATTCGGGTAGTGTGCCGCGCACAAATAGGGTGAAGTGCCCAGTGTTGCCTAAATATGATACCCCATCACTTATAGCATTTTCCCTTCATCCGTGAGTCACTCGATATGCTTAACATCTAGTGAAGCAAATTTACGTCTGGAAATCACGTTTGGAGACTACTAGGCGGGCTGTTTATATGGCGTGCGTTCTGTTCAAGAGGTAATCTATTCCTTATGTTTGAGCTAAAATCGCACAATGGGATACTGCTTAGTCGTCCGCAGCTAGAAGTGTTTCATTGAACGTCCAGCTAAGTCTAAAGCTGCCGTAAGCAAAGACCCAATACTTTTGTGTGCATCCCTATGGGAAGTAAGTTGGGGCAATAAGATTGAAAAGCCACCTGAGGTATATTGAGGAATTGCAACCAATCTCGGTCTCTGAAGTCTTGATTCTTGGTAGCGTCAAGCGATCGATGCAGAATCTGCAGTTTTGTCAGTTGCTCTATACTGGTGACGTCACCACCTTAACTTTGGGAACGTGTGACGTCAAGATATTCTGAGTCTGACACATGCTCAAAACAGCCTCAAACAACGGGGCGCAAAGCCACCACATTTTTGCAGTTGGTGTATGGTTCTATAAGTAAGTTGCATCATGCCGACGATGCAAACATGGGCCGCTCCAAAATACTTTTGCGCTCCTTCCCATCAAAAGAAAATGGCTCGGAACACCCTGCACGGCTTGCATAAAAACATGCCTGTGTCGGAGCCGCCTCATGCAGTTTAGCCCATCTAGCAGGTTATTCCACGTGAACTGAACCAATAGAAGTGCGATTTAACATTCTCAGATCTGAGCGAAACCTGGCGTTGAAGGTTTGTTGTGTTTTAATTGTGGTTCTGAGGCCTCAAGACCACAGCGCCCTGCTCTTGCCCGTCGTTCATGACGTCAGAAAGTGGCATAATGACTGAAATATGCTCAATGAAATGAATGTTTTGCAACTGCATCGCAGTTTTGCCGGCGCAGAAAAGATGCTGTTAGCCAATGCAATATTTGGGGTGATGAAATAACGAAAATATTTGTTCACCCCCAAAATGTAACTTCCAAATCAGATGTCACCTTGGAGTCGTCTGTACAGACCTCGACGCGCGGAATCGCAGTTCAATTTCAAACCATCAGTAAATCAAATCATCCGCAAATCATCAATACAAACTTGGCGACTCCCCGTGCGCTCGCACAGTGCAGATGCGATCGCAGCCGTGTGGATTGCCGCAGTGCGACACTCCGGACCGGCCCGGGCCCGCGCGCCGATGCCGGGTCATCGCCGCCCGGGCCCGCGCGCCGATGCCGGGTCGTTACCGCCTGGCCCGGCGCGCCCCCGATGCTACCGGCAGTGGTCGGCCCCTTTCCTCGCTGGTCCGGACAGACGGCTCCAGACGGCTGGAGTCATTGCTCGGAAGATGACAGCGTCACATGATCATCCTTCTCCCTCACGTCAAAAGGCATCGGCCGTCTCAGCTGGGACTTCCGGCGTGGGCCTTGCCTATGTGGACGGTCCTTCGCGCGTGGCTATGGTGGTCCATGAGGCGCTCGTGCACCTGAAGATCCAGAATTGCCTTAAGCGGTTGACTTGAACCATGAAGTTGCCAATACAAAGCTGTGACTCGTAACTAAAACACTACTAGCCACCCTTTGATTCGTGGGCTTGCATTAGTCGCTGAGGACCTTGAGAGCAAAAGAACACACATCATAGGATATCCTGATGTTGCTCCCGTTAGCCTTGAGACCACTGTGATGTGTATTCGCAGGACTAGCGGCGCTCATTCAGCTTGTGTTGGTATCCGTTACCAGAATCCGAAGATTATGGTGGGAATCGGCCATCGCGTCATTTTCTGGGATTTGATTACGACAACAGCGTCTTCAGTCGAAGTCATCCGTGCATGATTGGAATTCGCGACGATCGTCCCAGAGCGTTGTCTTTAAAATGTTTTGGAAAGCGTAGCAATATTTGGCTGAAGCGAAAGAAATTGAATCAAAACGGTGGGTAATAACTGACAGGATTTGTGTGATCACCGCCCGCCAGCGTAAGAAAAATTATCGGCAGCGTTCCGGTGTCTATTACGGCATTGCCACGGCTTTACTTTTTTCGTGGATTTTGTAACAAAGTCTTTAAAATAATAAAGTTGATTCCAAAACATGTTACTGAGCGTTCATTAAAATGCTAGCAGTCATTATTTAATGCGATTTGTTGCGACATCAGGGTCTTCAAAATTGACTGCATTCTGGGGCTGCTCAAAAGTTGTCAACATGACCACGTTTTGTTTGTCACAAGTGCATGATCTGGTTAGTACAGATGAGCCAAAATGCATAGCATACGGGGGAAATGTACATTTGAGGATTCATTGGTTAGCAAGCTTTAAGTAGCACGATGGTAGATGTGTCTTTCTTTGCCTAACATCGCTTCGTTTTGGGCCCCGAGGAAAGTTATATGACGTCACATGACATTTGACTGACGATTTGATTTGACTGACTGATTTGACGTCACATGGCTTTTCGGAGCTATTTTATGCTTCGTTTACATGCACATCATTTGGTTGTTTTGGGTTTTTTTTTATTGTTGCTTCCACCACCATATTCGTGAACAGACAAACGTGTGAAATCAAATTTAATCATATCTAATTGGTACCCTTTAAGAAATTCCGTCTCAGGCTTCCGGCTGGTCTTAAAGTTCAGCTGTCCCTCCTCATTAACCTGGCTTACATGGAAGCCACACTTCGTCTTTATGTGGATCACATCGGATTCAACGCAGTGAGTGGTACTTGCTTTCTTCCGCAGGACATACCCTGACGCACTGAGGCCATCACGGCGCGGGACCCTCGGCGTAATGAGGCTTAGTCGCTCTCTTGCACGCCTAAACCACTGGTGACACAGTGACCAGACCGCACGCAGCTACCTGCCCCCTCAGTCCTAGTTTGTATGACGCAATATCCAGCGACGACAGTCAAGACGACGACGACAAGACTGACTGAAGAAGTGAAGCTGAGGCGTCCGTGCGCCGCTAAGTGCTTGCTCAACCATTGGTTATGATTCGCGTCATAGATTATAAGTTTCCAGGACAGTGCACCTGACGCTGCGAAATGTCCGAGTCGGTTTAACACTAAGTGGTTTTAATAAAAACAAGGCAACAGTATAAATGTTCTGCGACCTATTGTTGAAATGCTATTGAAATTTCGACACATAGTCGAGTTTGGATTGTCATTATTTCTACTGAAATTTAAATGCGAATTGAATTGAAAAATGCAGTTTGTTTTGTCCGTCTTGTATTGCTGCCTAAGAATTCGCATTTTCAAGTGAAGGTTTCACCGATATTTCTCCACTTCATTACGTTGTTCAGGCAGGCCTGCGCACTGAGACGCAGAGTGAAACTCGTCATTGTAATCATCATTTCATTGTCTCCAATAGCCCCCCTTGAATGTAGCCCCTTGTTCAGGTCGGGAGCGCACATCCCTGAGGCAGCCCTGAGCTTCATGAACAAGAACTCTAGAGAGCAGCGTCTTGGCTCTCATTGACTGACGTCGTTTTTGCATCTCTAGGAATCAAGCAGATTCGTATTATCGGCCCGAGAGCCAATTATAATCAGCCACGTGAGCCATATGTCGGAGACCCCGGCACGAAGGTTTGTTGCGGAATTTACTCTGAGTTTGGTGTCCTGGCATGCTCCTGTTATTTAAGCTACCGGAATAGTGACACGAAGACACTGGCCAACACTGAGCTTGTGTGCAGTGCCGACATGACAGCCCGCGCGTCTCTGTGTGTGACGGTTCGAAGAAATAACACATGTATGCCTTAAATGCGCCCTGCTTCAGCTAGGCTGGTGGCCGGTTTCTGTGCCAGTTGTCATCAACATTTGATCGATTTATTGACGGTAACTGTCTTGCTAGATATCTATCCTACGTGCAAAAGCATTCAATTAGAACTGGGCGGAATTTAAGCCAACTTCGTGCGACGTGTATCGATGATTGTTGTTTGCCGGCTTACCATTAATCGTCCCAACGATATTGTTTTCGGCACCAAGCGAGCATATGGAATCAGTTAATCAGAAGATCAAGCCAATTCCTGTCAAATAACTGACGACGACCGCCCTCCGTGTGATTTATTAACGCCTTACTGAATGTGAAAGCAAACAAAATAAGTAATTTTCCCGTCTGGCTCACGCGACTGGCTAAGCCTTCCAGCATGGTTTTTGACCGCAATGCGGTGCACTTAACCGGTGATATAGAAGAAATGGCAGCGTGTGTTATCTTCGAAACCAAATTTACATGAAGTACTTTGCACGTCCCAAAGTATATCGGTTCGTATCAAATCGGGAAGTCTGGCATTTTTGCCAGCAATTTGAAGTGAAGATTTGTGCATACGTTGCCGATCACGGCACCAGGGCTTGAATAACTGATCTGATTACGGTTCCCTTGCACCACGTTGATTCCTCGCTTGCATTTCTCGCTTCCTCTCTTATAATCAGGACCCGCTCTAGCGCCTGATGTATTCAAATCAATTCCGCATATATACGTCCATACTTTCGGCGCTAATTTACACGCACGCACTACGACTTCATATTATCCATATTCAAGATGCCCTATGTTGGGAGCAGGAGGCCCGTTTTATATACCAAATGGCCGGGGTTCCGGATCAGGATGTCCTGTTTTGGGATAGCGAGGCCACTTGGCTAGATCTGGAGGCCCTTCGTGAATCGTAAACATCCTGGTCTGGATAAGAAGGCCCCTCTATGCATCGGGAGGCTCTTTTCCGGAACAGGAGGCCATGTTTTAAGTCAGCGAGGCCCTTTGTTGGATAATTATAGTTCTTTTTTTGGATATGATTTATGTAGCAATCTGATCAGGGGGCATAAGCCCTCGGTGTTCTTTTCCCTTGAATATCGCACTGCTCGGGAGGACCCCTGCGGGGATGCCCCATTTTGTCCAGGAGGCCCCCGGAAAATCCTACCCCCTTACTCTAACTCAAAACTGTGGCGCCGCTCCTGTTTCTCATAAAATAATGTTGAAGAGCTTATGGTTATTAAATGAGTTCCTGAAAACGACGGAATACTCATCTCTAGAACCACATCCAGCGTTTGTGCCGTTTTTATGACGACTTGCGCGCATGCTGGTGTTTCAAAGTTTTATCGGTTGGTCACGTGTTTGACTGAGCATGAAGCCTTTGGCGATGTGTGAGTTGGATTCTAACATTCGCTCGCGTATGTTCCTCAGGACTGGTGGAATGTTACCAACTACGCCAGCTTCTACCGCACGTGGAATATTGTGGTCCACGACTGGCTGTATGAATACATCTACTCGGTGAGAACTGCGCCGAAGTGCAGCTGAACACAGTTTGATTGCGTAGCTTTCTGTTTGTTTGAAAGTTCTCTTAGGCGTGTGAGTGATGCTGCAACTAATGAGTCTACGAAAGAATCGGGTGCATAGTGGGGTTTTCAAGCAGGCAAAAAACTGGAAAGGCTTCTTGGCTGGAATGCAAGGTCAAAATCTGGCTTATGTTGACAATGGTTGAACAACTTCCACCAGCCACCTCACCACGAAATAAGCATTGTGAGATCGCGTACTGAAAATATTTTGTCTTCAGTATGCTAGGGTGCTTTGGTTTAACGACGACATCAAGCAATTATTAGGACATGTGGTGAAAATGTTCAACGTTTCAAAGCAGTGTCCAAGTTCACGAGTGATGGCTGATGCTGATGTGTGACCATGAGCACGACCTTGAAACGTTGGCGTGTTTCATGATGCATCCGAATGGCTGCTTGATATCGCCGCATAACCAGTACCCCTGGTAACGAATTGCCTTTAAAATGGCAAAGACTGTATTTTTACCGTGACTTAAACAAGTAAAAAAAAAACGGACGTTTTGGAAAAACTTTTCGTTGGTGGCTTGTCGAATTTAAGTAGAAAAGGTACAATCATTGTCATGTTAAAGATCATTCTTGAGCTAACGATAATTTCGGCAATGTCATGGACCCTGCGAAGATTACTGGTGCTGAAAACCCCGGGAGCTACAGGTCTTGCTTGTCTACCTTAAGTACGAAATGAACATTTCAATCTGAATATGAGTGACTTTGCACGTGATGTTCGCTGACTGACCGGGTTTTAACTCACTCCATTTCATGAACATGAACCATACCGAAGAGTTAAAGATAAGAGACACTTGTTCAGCTGCCAAGGTTCCATTGGCAGTTGCTGACATTTGCAGCTGTGCGCAGTTGCTGACATTTGCAGCGCATCTGCAACATGTAACGGAACGACCTGCGCCACATTGTCAGTGAGTGAGCTGTTTGTGAACATGACGGGTCTGTACAGCACTCGCGAGCCGGCGGCTGGAGTACGGTGGTGAGCTGTACGGTACCCCTGATCCGCAGGACGTGGTCCGGTACCGCGGCAAGCTGATGGCTACGCTGGCCGTCTTCGTCGTCTCGTCAATCGTGCACGAGTACACGCTCATGTTTGTCTTCAACTTCTTCTTCCCCATACTGTTCCTTCAGTTCGGCGTGTTCGGCGGTGAGTGCTAGCTTACTTGTGAAACTGTGGTTACTCGAAGGCTGCCTCTGTCGAGGACGCGATGCCTGCGGACTGAATCTGTTGGGGACGCCATGCCTGTGGACTGAATCTGTTGGGGACGCAGTGCCTGTGAACCGAATCTGTTGGGGACGCAGTGCCTGTGAACCGAATCTGTCGCGGACGCGATGCCTGTGGACCTAGTCTATTGAAGACACGATGCCCGTATGCTTGGTCCGCGCAAGACGCAATGCCAGTGAACGCCATCAGGTGAGGGAGCGTCCATGACTGTGTTCGGAGCACAATGCCTGCAGACTGTGTCCGTGTTGTCTCGTCGATGGCGGCACGCATCATCTTTTGAGATCTGTTGACACGCCGGTGGGGCGCGGGCCGCGCCGGAAGCGTACGCCTGACCTCTGACCTCGCTTGTGCGCAGTGCTGCTGCACTTCATGAACGTGCGCAGCGCGGCTGGCAACGTGCTGCTCTGGATCACCCTGTCGCTCGGCGTTGGCATCGACATGACTTTTTACACAGCCGAGTGGTACGCCCGACACAACTGCCCGCAGATATACGTGAGTGCCGCACGACGCCGCTCTGCTGACGAGCGTGACGTCACCGGTAGGCGTGACGTCACCGGCGTGTACAACCAATGTAACTGTCCGACGGTGTGTGACGACCGCCCACTGGCTCCTCGCGAGGAGTAAAAAGGCCAAAGAACCCTCTGAGCAGAATGATTCCGAGAAAGCTTGAAGCCTTATATTCGTTTGATTACGCTTGATAAAAACGCCGGCAGACATTCGGCTTGAGAATAGCGCAGCGTAACCGATAGTCGCCAGAACATATCTCTCATTCTTGTGAACGATGCCTCCAAAACTCCATGCTGCCGGCCACGAGTCATTATGATCCTTCTGACGGGCAGGATCATCTGGCTCCGTTTTCGATCGCAGCTGTGTTGTTTGTGGCTGAACCCCGCAAACAGACGTGAGCGTGGTGGCTTTGCCTGCAGGACAACGTCTATGCCGACTTTTTCTCATCAAGAGCGCTGTCCTGCTGGTCAAGGAACATCACGGAGGACGTCCTCGGCGAGTCCACAGTCCCGGCCCCAGCGTGACGACTCCTGCCTCCGCCACTGCGTCTGGCCTGCAGATGGCTACGAGGGTCGGCCGACGTGAGGCTGCAAGCGACGGGATCACGTGCCTCCGATGGAAAGTTTTGGTACTAGAGCTTCACAGCGCGCGCACAAGAGGCCACTGCTGTCTGCCGCAGCGTGAGCGGGCGCCGGTGGCTGGGGATGCGTGGCCACATCGGGAGATGGCGCTGTGGCCGGGCGTCGCCGGTCGCCGCCGGGCTCGCGCCCGCCGCACCATTTGTAAACAATGGTGCACAGCGCGACGGCGGCGCGCCTCCCAATGAGCTGCGGGAGCGGCGACAAACAGGGTGGCGGCGGCGCCGTGGGACCTGGCCGCGCCGCCCGCGCCTCCAGCGCCGTGCGTCACTGGCCGCTGTTGAGATTGGCTCTCCTGGACGCTCAAGTAAAACGGGCGCCGTGAGTCGGTTGGCAAAAGACCACGCACTTTGAAGGCTGGCGATCGATTTCGAAGCGCAATCTGTCATTTAAAAATGGCCGCCGACTGCAGGCCTGATGATTAATCTACCATCCATCGAAGTCAGTAGCATTTACGCCAGAACGACTTTCATGGTTTATGATACCTTCACCATGAAATGACATTGGTCTTGCAGTACCAAACCACCCAACGATTTTGCCATTGCGTCATTGCAGGTCCGGCATACCAAAAAAGTGATATCTGAAGGCGTTACGAAATTAAAATCCCCTAAACAAACCGCGCAACAAATTAATTTGCTTCGGTCGGCGACAGACGGCGTGGACCTAACAAGAAGCTGTGTCTGCTCAAGTAATTAAACCTGGTGTTTATAGTGACGTTTTTTTAGCAAATGTCTTGATAGTGGCATCATGGAATACATAACTGAATCATGTATGGCATTAAATATATTTACTGTTTATTCGTTGTGATGCATGGAACAGTTCTTGAATTTCTGAAAGGTCTAAGACCTTCGAAACAACTCTACTGACCACCAAGCAGCGTTGTGGGACGAAGCAGCTCACTCCTGCTTGAACCACATACCGACACAGTGGATTTGTGCCACCTCAGCTTGCCCATCAGCCGTGGCTCTGTGCCCGCCCATCAGCCGTGGCTCTGCACCACCCCAACCCGGCCTCATCCATTGCTCTGTGCCACCTCAGCTCGCCCCTCAGTCGTGGCTCTGTGCCACATCAGCTCGTCCCTCAGCCGTGGCTCTGTGCCACAACAGCTCGTCCCTCAGCCGTGGCTCTGTGCCACATCAGCTCGTCCCTCAGCCGTGGATCTGTGCCATCTCAACCCGGCCTCATCCGTGGCTCTGTGCCATCTCAACCCGGCCTCATTTGTGGCCCTGTACCACCCCAACCAGGCCCTCAGCTGTGGCCCTGTGTTAACCCAGCTCGTCCCTCAGGCGCGGCTATGTGTCACCTCAGCTCGCCCGTCGGGTGTGGCTCCTTGCTGCCCCAGGTCGCAGGGGCCGGCCGCGCACGCAGGTGGCCCCTGCTGAGCCGCCGGTCGGCTCGACAAAAACTCGTCACCGGCCAGCGCCAGCGTCTGATAAGGACCGTCCTGCCGACCCAGCCAATCGCCGCCATCTTTCATACATTGCACAAAAACCGGCCGGACGGACGCAGACCGGCCACTGCCTGGACCGGCCCCGTCCGCTGGCGGGGCGGCCGGCCGCAGCCAACGGAAAGCCGGTGGTGGGCTCCGGTGGGCCGGTGAAGGGCTCCAGTGGGCCGGTGGTGGGCTCCGGTGGGCCGGTGAAGGGCTCCAGTAGGTCGGTGGTGTGCTCCGGTGGGCCAGAGGTGGGCTTCGATGGGCCGGTGGTAGGCTCCGATGGATGGGCGGCTCACGGCGCGACGCAGTCCCGCCCGCCGGGTCATCGGCTCCATGCAGACGCGGTCGGGGTAGGGCGTGCCTTCAGCTGGGACAGACGGATGGCTTTGACTCAAACCCTCACCCGTCTGTCGCGGACCACGATCGGCCTGGTTCTCGCTGGGGGTGCGCGCGGTGTCCGCCGCGATACCCGCCGGTGGCGGGGCGGCAGGCCGTGCGGCGCAGTCCGCCCCGCCGGCGGCGGCAGCGCCATACCCGGCCGCTGGCCTAATATGGCAGACTGCGGGCGGCCACAGCCGGCTGAGACGGCCGCGCGGACCGGACCGGACCGGGCCGGGCCGCGCCGGGTGACACGTCACGCTTCACCCCCGTCATCCCGTGTCCAGCTCCGGCGGCAGGCGCCGAGCCCGCTCGGCCACTGACGTGCGTTGCACATAACCCGCCGCGCCGGTGCAGCCGGGCGGGCCGCGGCACGGGGCGCACTCAGAGGCCGCGGGCTGAGGACGGCGGCAGGCTCAGCAGGCGGCGGAGAGACGAGCCGAATATCTGACCTGAGCAGCGACAGCCTTCGGCCCGCATCCACACGGCGCTCCCCGCCGGTCTTTTCACTTGGTCTCCGACAAAGGTTTATTGATGTAATTAACGAAGTCCAGACGCTCGTCGTGACTGGTTTCTCCTTCAGCCGCCTCGATCGTTCGGCTCGGTCGCACGACATCTTCCGGCGCGCTGTCTCGCTGGGCCGGGTGGCAGCGTAGTCAGCTGGGTCGGCGGGCTGCGACGGCCGCTGGCGGTGCGGCATTTCCTGTCAATGATTCAGTGTTACGGTAAGACTGGACATGCGACAGAGCCGTGAGAGATCATCTTCGGCCAGCTGTGCCAGGAGACTCACGGGTGTCTTAAGATCTCAGTGGGGCTAGGCGGACTGAAGTTGGACGCTTTTCAAAGATAAATATGTGGACACTTTTGACATGCGCCGTCATTTGATTGGGGCACTGAACCACTGGCGGTGTGGGCATGCGCGTGAGTGTGCCTTGTTAGATTTAATCGGAAAATTTTGAATGGGTGGATTTCCGGCACCAGAGCTACGTTAAGCAGTGCTAAGTGTGTGAACCCTCACCCCTTCCACCCGATCACGCAATTCTAGGTCAACGGCAGAATTGGGTGGCCGAAGTTTATCGCGCTGCAATGCAGGCACCGTCCGTCCTGTCCCATGACGTCACCTGACCTTAAGCGCAGCCGCTGCCACCGACGGACGACCTAGCTGTCAGGGGCGACAAACAAGCGTCTGAAGTGACTCGAACTCACCCCGCCACGGGTGGGTGGATCGGAAAGCAGGCGTTCTAACGAACTGGGCTACTGGGACGAACCGTGCAGCGCGCTTTGCGGCATTGCCGCTATCATTAAGGACGACCAGCGCCGTTAGCTGGCTCAGCACCGTGCCGCTGGTGGGCACACAGCTGTATGCTGTGTATACTTACCTGGTCAGCCTGTCACTCCGCCCATCACACGGCATACTCAGCCAGCTCCAACGCCGCCAGACATTACGCGGGCGCTTACGGCAAAAGCAGCAACGAAGGCCGACCAATCGTTTTTATTTTATCCGAGCGTTTTAATCGGATTTATTTCTGTCCTTCGAGTTCAAGTACAAAGTGTTTGATGGGTAAGCTCTGCCACCAGCAACAGACGGGTAAGTTCCAGCTAACTGCGAAATTTCTTGGTGAAAGCTCAACGTACCACGATGCTAGGTACGACACCCAACCCGCTCTCTGACCTCATTTGACCTCGAACTGCCGCCACCACCGGCCACAGGTCATCCCAGCCAGGGGTAAATAGTGAGCGCCGAAGCAAACCCATCCACCACGTCATGCCACGAGTAGGATGGAAGGCAGGCGCTCTAACCGAGTGAGTTGTTGAGGGCCGACCAGGGCGAATGTCTTATTTTGCGAGAGGGTTCAACGAGCCACCCAGTGCCGGTCCGGAGGGGTCCGGCCGGCGGTCTGGCCGGGCGGGCCGCTCTGTGTCCGGCCGGCGGTTTGGCCGGGAGGGCCGCTCTCAGCCCGGCCAGCGGTCTGGCCGGGCGGGCCGCTCTGTGTCCGGTCGGCGGTCTGGCCTGGCGTGTGTCCGGCCGGCGGTCTGGCCGGGCGGGCCGGTATGCGGCCGGTCGGATGCGTCGGAGCGTCGGCGCTACTGACGGCGGCAGGTGGGCCGTCGCCCGCCCGAGCCGCGCGCCTCACATGAAATCAACAGACAGCCGCCCGCCCAGCCCGCCGGCGCCGCCGCTGCCGCCGGCCAGGTCGCCTGGGATGTAACCCCGCTCAGACGGAGGTTTGGGCTTAGCTCGGCTAAGACAGGTGCCAGAACCCAATTCTGCTATGTAAAGACCGCGGTATCGGTTGCATTGTCGTAGAAAACTTGAGACATTAGCCTGCTGTGTCCTGGAAGTGCCATTTTACAGGGATCATGAGGAACTTACGAAGAAGTGGAAGTAAAAACCCACCTGCTGAGCTGAAACACAGGTATTATTTTCATTGTTTCCCCAGCAATAGAGGCTAAAAAGATGAACAAAACCTATTTTTAGTCATGGTCACGTTATTTGCAAGTTCATAAGGACAGTGGTGAGCTTCATAATAATGAAAGTGCCGAGCTTCATAATAAGGCACTATGCTTGTAATATCTTGTTAAATTAGCGATGACTTTAGACGCTAATCCAAACAACGCCTTCCTACTTTTGCCAATGTCGGCCAACAGGGCCTGGACTAACTGGGTCTAGATAAAGTATAAAACTAATAAAACTAAAAAATTGATAAAAACAAAGTCGATTGAATTAAAGTAAAGTTCTTTCGACCGGTTCTCCAAGGCCTTTCAGCGATTGTCGTCAAAACCATCCAAATCATCACTTCAAAGCATTAGCAACCAGGGCAGGTTTGGTGATTAACTCTCGTGGAATGACCTAAACTTACCTTGGAACTACGTTACGAAAAAATGCCCTTTGTAGTAGATTCTACACACGTAGTCTACACTTCTGCTGATTCTATATTTGAAGTTGACAACTCGGGCGTAGGAAACATTGACCGTATGAGGTGCGTGTGGGACGTTTGGATGTACTACGACACATTCCACAGCAAGGCACCAACCCAACTTTAGTGTATCCCGTAACAGTCTTCCTCAAGCCCTACTTAACAGTAGCTTTACTCACTTAGCAGGCTTGCTTCAGTGTAATCCAGTCTTCTCCCGGTGAAGGGTAGTGGTATGGCTAGAAGCTTCTCGTAACTTGCCACTCGTCTGACCTATTTCGCTTCCACCAATCCATCCGCTGGTTGGTGTCGTTAACGTCCTCCCCCTCACCGAAGTTGGCACCCACTTGGCCCACTCTACCTTCGGTTTTTCGTGCATGTTCTCCCCGCTCCCGGGCCCAGATGATCC